TTTACTTTTTCGCTTCACTCTACTTTCACTTTCATTCTCTCTACTTTATTTTACTTCCATTTCACTTCACTTTTCTTTACTTCCACTTTTTCGTTTCGCTTTCTCGCTTCTCTTCGAATAGAATAAAATACCGTATCCTCTGGTTTAAATGAGACCTTGGCAAGCCGTGCGTGGTAGAGACGGGCACCGGCGATATGTGACCGATTAGCAGGAATTGATGACTCAGAAATGCCAAGTATCAAAATCTATAGCGTTTGAGTAGCCAAAATGAATAGAATTGCATTGCTATTACATTTTAATATGCTAATATGTCTTTGCTTACTATTAAACTCTATTATAACGCGATAAAGGTATAGATTTCGAATAAGTAGAATGCGATGAATACGAGCAACTGCGAAAAAAAAATCTAATAGATCTAAGAAAAGAGCGCAATATTCGAAGCTTTTTTACAAAGAAAAACGCCGAATTAATCGATTTACTAAGATTATTTAATGAAGCTCGTAGAAAGAGCGAAAACGATATTAAGGTTAAAGAAAAAAAGCTAGCAAAAGAGCAAAAATTGCTTATAAAAAAGCACGGAAAATTGCAAAAGAAATCGTATAAGTAAACGAAAATAGAATCGAATATGAAAATTGATCGACAGTAATAGAAAGTATAGATTTAATTGCAATTTATATCTAAATATATCTATTAAAATAAAATAAATTACAAAAAGGAACGAAAATATTAGTATTCGCTTAATTCTGACCTTTATCATCTTCTCGACGTTGGATTTTGCTGGCTAAATAATCCTTTTTTCTCGCTTCTCTACTTGGCTGGCTCCACCACGCACGGCTTGCCAAGGTCTCATTTAAACCAGAGGATACGGTAGAACCAAAAGCAGAAGCAAAAGCAGAAGCAGAAGCCGAAGCAGAAGCCGACGAGAGATTGATTTACTTATACCCTTACCCACGCTTATACTTTTATCCACGCTTATACCCTTATCTACTTCCACACCCTTATCCACGCTTACGCCAGCTCTTTCTCCTCCCCCCCCCGCCCCTTTTCTCTGCGAACAAGTATTAAAGTATGACCTTTACTTTCACTTTTACTTTCACTTTTACTTTACTTTTATTTCCATTTCCATTTCCATTTCACTTTTACTTTTACTTTTACTTTTACTTCTTCGTTTTATTTAACTTCATTTTATTTTTATTTTACTTTATTTTCACTTTTCTTCTTTTCACTTTATTTCTACTTTTACTTTTATTTCTACTTCTACTTTCGCTTTCTCGCTTTCTCGCTTCTCTTCGAATAGAATAGAATAGAACTAAAAGCAAAAGCAAAAGCAGAAGCAGAAGCCGAAGCCGAAGTAAAAGCAAAAGCCGACGAAAGATTAATCTACTTCTTTTTATACTTTTATTTACGCTTATACCTTTATTTACTTTTATACTTTTATGCACGCTTTCATTTGTATCTACTTTAACGCTAGCTCTATCTTTCCTTCTTTTTTCTTTTTGCGAATAAGTATTGAAGTATAACTTTCACTTCTACTTTTATTTCTACTTTCACTTTTACTTTTATTTTTATTTTTATTTTTACTTTTACTTTTATTTTCACTTTATTTCTTTTTACTTTCATTTCGCTTTTCTTCACTTCTTTTTACTTTTTTTCACTTCACTTTTATTTCTACTTCTATTTCACTTCATTTTTATTTTTATTTCTATTTTTACTTTTACTTTTTCGCTTCATTTCTATTTCTATTTCACTTTACTTCTACTTTTATTTCTACTTTTACTTTTATTTCCATTTCTCTTTCTTCGCTTCATTTCGCTTTTATTTTCACTTTCACTTTCATTTTACTTCTACTTTTATTTCACTTCGCTTTTACTTTCGCTTTTTCGCTTTGCTTTTTCGTTTTCACTTTCTCGCTTCTTTTCGAATAAAATAAAATAAAACCAAAAGCAGAAGCCGAAGCAAAAGCAAAAGCCGACGAAAGATTGATCTACTTCTTTCTATACCTTTACCTACGCTTATACTCTTATCCACGCCTACACCCTCATGCACTTCCATATCCTTATCCACTTCCACGCCTATACCAGCTCTTTCTCTCCCCCCCCCCCCCCCCTCCCCCTTTCTCTTTTGCGAACAAGTATTAAAGTATGACTTTCACTTCGCTTTCATTTCCACTTTCATTTCGCTTTTACTTTTATTTTCACTTTACTTTTTCGCTTCACTTTCGCTTCTTTTTACTTCACTCTTTTTCTCTTCACTTCCACTTTCGCTTTTTCGCTTCTCTTCGAATAGAATAGAACCAAAAGCAGAACCAAAAGCAAAAGCAGAAGCAGAAGTAAAAGCCGACGAGAGATTGATCTGCTTTTATACCTTCC